GAACAGTACACAAAATTCACAGTACTGATATAGCAGTAAAGTACTCAAATAATTTTTGCACCAGTAAAAGGAATGAATATTGGAATAAATTTTATTCTAGAAACGGAAAAGTTTAGGAATCATCCTATAGCTGCCATAGGCAATGTCCAGAGAGAGAGATGTGGTACATCAGAGAAAAGAAATTATGCAGAGAGAAGGCAAAACAGAATTTCCAACCACTCCTCCCCTTTTTCCCTTTCCACCCCCAATATACGACTATGCTTTTCACCAATAGAAATCCTCCAGCCTGGAGTTTGTTATTTTGTTTCTAGAACTCTTTCTCACTCCTTGATGAGCTGTATTAACATTGGACCCTTCTGCCCTTTCATCATGTGTTACAACTTCACTCGAATGTGGTAGTTGGCTTAGGTACTTGGTAATTCGGCTCTCAACTTTCCTAGAAAACACATCGACCTTGGTGAAACTAAAGGTTGTTTGGGGGAATCCACACAAGCTTACATATCATAATACTCAAAAAGGCCCGATTCTCTTAAAAGGAGTGAATATCAATTGTTTTGGGTCTATAAATAGACCTTTACACCATGACCGTGAAGGACACACTATGCTTCTAGCTTAAAATCTCTCAATATCTTTGGCTAGAACGAGTAGGAAGATAGTGTAGGAGAGTTTAGAATTGGAATTTGACTAAAATGCACTTAGTCATACAATCACAAATGGCCATTGATAATGTACCCTCCCGAGCTACCAGCCTATCTAAAGCTCAGACACACCTTAGCATCATTATCCTCTACTGCTCGAGACCTAAAGATTATGTTACGTCCTAGATTTGTGCTAGCCTTTTGTGACGAACTGATTCTTACAGTGTCTAGCTCTTAGGCAACCAGGTTAAATATCGTTAAGGGGATAACACAAGCATACTGGGGTACTGTGACGATGGAGTAACAGTCCATGGAGTTACGTACTGACCCTCAGTCTTGCTAGGAAGCCAGAGAATACCCACTTGAAAGGACCAGACATGGTAGAGCTTTGGACCATCATCTAAGGGTTTCCTAAACTGAACATGTAAATTCATTGATTTTTATAATAATTGATTACAATTTAGAATTATATCTTGTTGGTTGATAATGTAAAAATATTTACATTAACAATGCATAGAATTTTGTTTTTTTTGTAAGGGTTTTATTGTTAGTATTGCTTGGATTTGTAACGTGTTGGTTAGCCTTCATCAATTGGTTTTGTGATTGTAGGTATCACAACAGGATTTGGAAGACACATATCAGCCACCTTTTCGTGGTTGTATCCAGCAAGGGAAAGCAAGCTGCTTGATGTGTTCCTACAATGCGGTGAACGATGTCCCTGCTTGTGCTAGTGAGGAACTCTTGGGACTGGCTAGAGACAAGTGGGGGTTCAAAGGGTATGGGATTTTGGGTCTTTGAATTTGTAGCAATGTGAAAATTTATGATGAAAAACAAAATAGACAAGAATATTTTGTTGATTATCAGGATTGGTGGTTGACTTTTTAATAGGTACATCACTTCAGACTGTGATGCTGTGGCCACGGTTTATGAGTCTCAGAAATACGTTAATTCCAGTGAGGATGCTGTTGCTGATGTTCTCAAAGCAGGTGCTTTCGTTTGTCTGTTTAAATGCATCTTTCATTGAATTTTTTGCAGCAACATTGTTCGAACTCGACAGTTTCTGACACTTTCTCAATTCATCAGGTATGGATATTGATTGTGGAACGTTTATGCTTAGACATACTGAACATGCTATTGAACAAGGTAAAATTAAAGAGGAAGATATAGACAGAGCTCTTCTTAACCTTTTTTCTGTTCAACTGCGCCTTGGACTGTTTGATGGAGACCCTATAAGAGGCCAGTTTGGAAAATTGGGATCAAAGGATGTTTGTAGCCTAGAACACAAAACACTGGCGCTTGAAGCTGCAAGGCAGGGAATTGTACTGCTGAAGAATGACAGGAAGTTTCTTCCCTTGAATAGGGATATTGGTGCCTCCTTGGCTGTCATTGGTCCAATGGCAACTACAACCAAACTTGGTGGTGGCTACTCAGGTATTATTTTCATATTGGAATGTTGTAATTTTCCCATCTTCATTTGTTTGTTTCATTTAATTTTGCTTGCAGTAGTTATTTCTGGTCAGGCTATCCCTACCCTGCCAAAATGTTTGTTTCATATACCACTGCTTTATGTACCCAGGACATCCATGCCTGCTAAAATGCCAAATACTTTCTCTATTCTAAAATAATTATCGTTTTAGCAATTTACTACTTGTGTGTTTTATAATTTTTAGTCCATCATTACTCTAAATGTTTCTTTATCTTTTATAAGACCCCTCAATTCCCTGATACTGAACTGCATGATTTTGCACCTAATAATGTAGGAATTCCTTGCTCCTTAACAAGCTTATACGGAGGACTTGGAGAGTTTGCAGAGAGGATATCATTTTCTTTTGGTTGCCATGATGTATCGTGTGAATCTGATAATGGTTTTGGTGAGGCTCTTGACACTGCAAAAAAAGCTGATTTTGTTGTTGTAGTTGTCGGACTTGATGCAACGCAAGAGACAGAGGATCATGATCGAGTTAGTCTTCTCTTGCCTGGAAAACAGATGGACCTTGTATCCTATGTAGCTGATGCTAGTAAAAATCCAGTCATTCTAGTTCTTATTGGGGGAGGACCTCTTGATGTCTCTTTTGCTGAAGAAAATAATAAAATTGGAAGTATTCTTTGGGTTGGGTACCCTGGTGAAGCTGGCGGAAAAGCCCTAGCTGAAATAATCTTTGGGGAGTTTAATCCAGGTATGTATACTTGTAAGTTATAAATGAATATGCTGTTAGACAAGGGTGTCTTCATCCATTTAGAACATTTGAAGTTAGATAAGGGTCTTTGTACTCCAATAGTCATAGTTACTATTTTAAGCTAACTGCTGTTAAATGATTTTTTTCTTCTCACCAGAAGATTTTTAAATATCCAAATCCTTTTTGTGATGCAGTGGGAAGACTACCAATGACTTGGTACCCTGAGGCATTTACTAATGTTCCCATGAATGACATGAACATGCGAGCTGATACTTCACGTGGTTATCCAGGAAGGACCTACCGCTTTTATACTGGAAGTAGAGTATATGGATTTGGCCATGGTTTAAGTTACAGCCATTTTTCCTACAATTTCTTATCAGCCCCAAGTAAAATTAGTCTGTCAAGAATAATCAAAGATGGTTCTAGAAAAAGATTGCTATATCAGGCACGGAAAGAAGTTTATGGAGCTGATTATGTTCCAATTAATGAGTTGCAAAATTGCAATTCATTGAGTTTCTCAGTGGATATTTCTGTGACGAACCTTGGTGATTTGGATGGAAGTCATGTTGTAATGTTATTTTCTAAAGGGCCGAAAGTTGTAGATGGTTCTCCAGAAACCCAGTTGGTTGGGTTTAGCAGTCTGCATACTGTTGCTAACAAATCTACTGACACAAGCATTTTGGTTCATCCTTGTGAACACTTGAGCTTTGCAGATGAGCAAGGAAGAAGGATTTTGCCAATGGGCCACCACACCTTGAGTGTAGGGGATGTGGAGCACATTGTTTCAATTCAAATTTATTGAGTGCTTGTAAAATGCTAAATGTGTAACTTAATGAAAATTTTAAACAGATATGATAAATTTCAAATAATGTTCGTCGAGAATCCAAGCTTTTTGGTCATGAATTTGTTTATTGCGGGTAAAAGTGGGAACAGAGAAGGTTATGTTGTGTGGTCATGATCGTTTTTGTTTTTCTGCAAGACCTGCTAAACATAAACGGAAAATGAACAATGAATATGTTAACAGCCTTGTTGTGTAGCAGTTGAATAACTAGTTCATAAGTTATTAGTGGGGTGAAGAATGGTATTAGAATGTAAAAGAAACAAAGAGTGTGATGCAAGAAGTAACTAACAAAGTATGATGAAAGAAGTTTTCTTGTTCATTTTGGCCCATATTCAAAAAGAAAAACGAATAAAGGTGCAAAACATCTCCACATAACAGAATTTCAAAAGTTAACAATTGAATTTAGATAACTCTTTATATCCAATAATTTTTAATGGCGAAGTCAAAATATAAGACAGTTTAAATACATTTTCTTTCATTCATCCTTTAAGATATTTTTTAAAAGATAAAACCATCACAAACAAATCTTCAAAGTGAAAAATACCTTAAATATTAGGTATGACAGGTACAATAATAACAGTGATAATTATTTCTGGTTTAATTTTTTTGGATAACATAAATTTTTATTCTGTAACACTTCCTATATAAATTACGATAGTTCGTTATTTGCATGCCAAAACTTTTAGGGTATTATCATTATTTTAGTTAACAATGTTGAACTAGAATTTATTCTATTTTTTAGGAATAACCGAATGATTTCAATCCGTCATATTTTATTTATTGTTGTGGATTTTAGCGGATATTATATTATCAACCAAGAACACGATTCTAAACCCAACCATATTTTCACACTAGGGGCTTCCAATAATACTCAGACCTCCTTAAAGAAACACTTGTTGAATAAAATACATATTTAAAAGTTATAAAAAAATTCCGATCATTAGAAATTAACACATAACTTTCTTATATGATCATGTTAGTTATAATTAAATTTCAATTTTAATTATGACTTAAATATGTTTTCACTGTACAATAAGTAAGTTTTTTTCTATTTTAGTTTCTCTATTTTTTATTCTTCATCCTTTAAAATTTATAATTTTTATTTTTTTCTAGTTTTAGATTATTTATTAACTATTTATGTGTTTAATGTAAGAACTCATAAAATCATATTTTTAGAAATGGTAGAATGGCCTAAATAATGAGACTTGAATATTTTAATGTTAAAATTTCAAAATACAAATAAAAGTTTTATAAGACGAGTTTTATTATTTTAAATCATACCATCTCTCTAAAAATAGTTTTCTCTAGAGTTCTTCCTTCTCTATAAGTATTCTATTTGTTGGGTCATCTGTTTGAAAATCAAAGGGTGTCAAAGTGATCATTGCGGCAAGGCCTTCTAGTCTAGTCGATCAATTCTCGCAAAAGAGTAAGTTAATTTCTACTTTTTTCTCTAGGTTTCATGTTTTTTGATGCATGCGAATCGTTTTCTACCGCATGTGTCATCTAAGTGTTCCTTTAGATTCTTTGTTGATCAGCGGTTCTAACCGCGTACTCTAATCATGATTTTATGATTTGTAGATATAAGCTCTCTAAGCTGAGAAAGTGGTTTTAGGTTCTTTTAAGACCGTTTGGTCGTTTAACCGGTAAGGAAAGCTAATGTTTGTACTTAAATTAGATAATAATGCATAAAATTGTGATTGTAAGTATGTATGTTATTGTATATCTAAGTTGAATATGTATGAAATGCTTGTTTTGGTGCTAATTGTGTTTGATGTGAAAATAATGAATTAAATGTGCTTAATTCTTTGTATAATGTGTGAAATGAGGTATGATCTTGTGAAGGTATTTACTATGAAGGTATTGGTGTTTACTTTGGTTAAATTTTTAAGAGGAAAGATATAAGTATCATTATAGGTCTAATTTAGTCTATATTGGAAGTTGAGAGGTGATTTGTTGAGATATTATTTTGAGATGATGAATGGTGATTTTGGACAACTAATTTGATCTTTGGTAACTATTTTAAAATAAGATGGTGGTCTTTTTGGGTGTTTACCATGTGGTTTAAGGGTTGTCTTAGGGGTTTTGATAAGTGTTTTTTCTGTAAAACTGGTTGGATGAAGAAAACAAAGGTTTGGGGACAGTTTTCAAGTCATTTAAGACTTGTTGAAATTGTAAAACCAATAAAATTTGGTATGGAGTTCAATAGTGGACTAATGAGTGGGTAATTGAATGTTTTTGAGTAGTGAATTTCTAAAGGAGTGATTTTAGAGAGAAACTTGATGTTTAGGGTTGGTGTTTAGGCCATTTAAGACTTATGTAGCTTTTTTGTTCAACTAAATCTGAGGTAAAATGTTTAGAATATGATATATGAGTTTTAGTTGTATATTGATTTGTTGAACCTTATTTCCTTACCAAATCATCAAATTGTTATCTAATTTAAATTATAAACATGTTTTTGAATCATTCTCACTGTCTAAGATGTCATTTTGACCATTTGGATACCAAAGCTAGTTTTAGAGTTGATTTTCTGGTATAGGGCTGAGTTCCAGGATTGTAGTGTTGAACGCCTCCATTCTAGTGGTGTTGGGGCTGAGCATTAGGAAAGTAGTGTTGAGCGCCACTTTCCAATTGGTATAGGGCTGAGAGCCAGAATGCTGGAGTTGAGCGCCATGGGTGCAACATTGGTTTATGTTCTCTGTTTTATTGTTCTTATTGGCTTTTGAGTTGTATTTGGTACTTTGATAACTTGATTGGATTATTTCTGGTTCTTTTGGTGGATGTTTAGTGGATTCATGTTATTGGTATGCAATGAGGCTATGTATAATGATATTCGAATAATACGTGAATTGTGGATTTAAGTATGATGTGAGAAAAGAATTCCAAGGAGCAATATCCTAAGTTGGTTATGTTGTGTAATGTATTGAACTAGGGACTCCTGGATTGGGGAATGATCCTGACACTCTCAATAACCCTATCTCAAGTAGAGATAAGAGATTATGTTGTGGAGAGTAGCCGGAGGTCCTACTCTATGGTCACTGATTTTGGCTATAGATGTTTGACGGATTAATCTTGGTATATGACATTATGGTTTTGGTTAAGGTTGTAGTTATTATTCTGAGCAAGTTACTCCACCATACATGGGTGCATGTTCCCCATGAGTCCAACATTTATACATCTATCTGGATAGTCGAAGTACAAGGTTGATAGGAATTATTTTATATGTTGCTTGATTCATAATATGGATGTATATTGTTATTGTTTTAAAATGTATGTATATCCTTTTTGTACTTTAGCTTACTCTTCTGTTTGTGTCTGTTCGTATATGTACTTGTTTTCTCTTTTGCAATGATCACCTTAATGATATGAGTTTAGGTGATGTCTTTGGAGAGCAGGTGCTAGTTGGTAGTAGCGGAGCTAAAGCTTAAAGTAGGACGTTCCGACTTTTCCTTTTTATTTGCAAAGTTTATCTTACACTTTTGGTTCAGTGTAATATGTATTCTTGTAGTGTAAAAGGGATAAATATTTCTATTATAAATTATTTATGAATAATCGTAATAGGATTTTTATATGTTTTTTTTAAGTTAAGTGTTTATAATATTAAGGTTTAAATATGTTTTTAGTCCATTAAGTATCACACGATTTTGGATTTAGTCCCTACTCGAAACTTTGATTGCTTTTAGTCCTCATAGTTTTGAAACTGTTATAAATAGTCCCTAATTTTGGATGGCATTAACTTTTTTTTGACGTGACTAACGACCAGTCCACGTTTGATGCCAGGTATGAGTTTATTCTCTGCCATGTTTTCTTTTCTTTTTATTCTAAATTTGCACACAAGCCCCTAATTTCTTCAATGTTTACACTTCAACCCCTAACTTCTTTTCAAAATTGCATAATAGCCCTTGTTTGACCAGCTAGGTGCAGGATTGACTCAGGTGAGTCTGTCCAGTGAAACCATGCCACATGTCAGTTCACCCTTTACCCAAAATTAGGGTTTTGAATTGAGCACCAGGAAAAAAGTTGCGCCTACGCCGTCATGGCAAGAACAAGAGAGCGGGTTGCTCTCTGATGAAGCTCAACTTGCTTCATCGCGAAGCAGAATTGCTATGGAGGCGCTTAGGTGGCGCGAGTTGCTGCGCAAATCTCTCTTAGGTCTGGAGGTTGATGACTTGCGAGAATGGGGATAGTGGCTTCGTGATGGGTTTTTTATGTCTCTAGCTTCTTGGTTTTATTCCTGCAGGTTTTTGGAGGTTGATGCGCTGGCTTGCACGAGGTGGTCCGGTGAAGATGAAACTGCCATCTAGTGGCTCTAGTTTTCTCTCTCAACGATGATGGCACAATTTGAAGGAGATGACGGTTGCGCTTCTGCTTGGGGTTTGCAAGTGGTTGGCTTAGGGTTTTTGTGGCGGCATGGAGGCTAGGTGGTGGCGGCCTTGCGTTGGAGGTTCAACAGCGATTTGGGTTTCGCCTTCTGTGTTTCTGTACGTTGCGAGATGGCTGCCAATGACTTAATCTTTTTGCGGTGTTCCTTCTGAACCTTAATTGCGGTGTTCCTTTTGAAGTGTAAACATTGAAGAAATTAGGGGCTTGTGTGCAAATTTGGAATAAAAAGAAAAGAAAACATGGTAGAGAATAAACTCATATATGGAATCAGACATGGACTGGCTGATTGCCACGTCAAACAAAAGTTAACGCCATCCAAAATTAAAGACTATTTATAACAGTTTCAAAACTATGAGGACTAAAAACAATCAAAATTTCGAGTAGGGACTAAACCCAAAATCGTGTGATACTTAAGGAACTAAAAACATATATAACCCTAATATTAAAGTTTTAACATATCCTACAACAGTGCAATACTATAAAAAAAATAGGAATATTAAATTTAACGAAATATCAACTCATTATTCCTATTGAGACAAATTTAAATTGTGAGATAATGTTAGTTTGTGAATATTCAATTTGTGACATTTAATTTTTAAGATTAGTAAGATAGATGATATTTACTCATCATAGAATTAATATTATAAACTGAAAATAGTGA